TTTGTTTCTCCAGCCTCCCGTACCACGAAGCAGAGCGATACGCTAACAGCTTGCTCGGCAAAACGTTCTGTCGGGGCCGCCACCGCGACATGCGAAGCAAGGGGGCTCTCAGCGAGTGGGTTCTCAATAAGGCATCAGGGCCAGGGCTCTCTAGGTGGACCTGCGCAGTCCGTAGAAACACACAGGCGCTGACGTTTTCAGACTTGCCGGCCACCGGGCCAGACGATGGCGCTGAAGCAGGGAGACACACAGAACATCCGCCGACCCCCGCTTGCCAGGGGTGAAAAGGTGTGTGAGACGTTTGGCTGTTCCCCCTCCCCCGTTTCCCCTCCCCTGGGGTCCAAGATGCTGTTTCAAGGGGGGAGGGGGGGGCGCAGAGCTCGTGGACACACCCCCTGGAGTCTCTGGAGCCTCCAAAAGATCCCCTGGACCGCTCGAAAGGGCCCAGAAAGAGCGCCGAGACACTCCAAGAGAGCGTCGAGACGGGCCAGGGTAGCCCCACGACGATCCAAGATTGCGTCAAGACGGCCCACGAGGCCCCGAAGATGGCCCAAGAGCGCTCCCAGAGGACCGCAGAGAGGGCCCAAAGAAGCAAACATCAGAGAGAGCGTGATCCACCGCCGCTTTACTGTGGAAAATTGCCAACCTTTTCCTCCGGAACCCGGGGGTCGCCCCCCCCCCCCTCCGAAAATCCCCCCCCCCTGCTGGAACCCCTCCCCCCCCCCCACCCCTTCCCCCGGCAAAACCCCCCCCCTCCCCTAAACCCCCCCCCCCCCCCTCCCGCTCGAAAACCGGGGGGGGTCACTACCGGTTCGAACCCCTCCCCCCCCCCCCCCCCCTTCGGATCCGGAAACCGGGGGGGGTCACTACCGGTTCGAACCCCCCCCCCCCCCCCCCCCCCCCCCCCCCCCCCTACTCACCGCCAGCAAACGACTCCCGGTCCCCACCACCGTCCGCATCACATCCCCCACTGGTGTTCCCAGCACCACTGTCCTCACCACCGCTGTCCCCACTGGTTCCACCACCGCCCCTACTGTCCCCACCAGTGGCCCCACCACTGTCGCACTGTCCCCGCTGTCCCCAGCACTGTTCCCACCACGGTTCCACTCTCCCCACTGTCTCCACGGCCCCAACCACTGCCCGACTATCCCCACTGTCCCCACTGTCCCACTGACTCCTCCGCTGTCCCACTGAGCTGTCCCACTGTTCCCACCACTGTCCCCACTTTCCCCACCACTGTCCCCACTGTACCTCTGTCCCATTGTCCCACCGCCGTCCTCGCCACCGCCTTCACCACTGTCCCCACCACCATTGTACCCTCCACTGTCCCACTGTTTCCACCTCATTCCCATTGTCCCCACACCACTGTCCCCACCACCACCGTCACCACCACTGTCCACTGTCCCCCCCTGTTCCCACCATTGTCCCCACCACTGTCCCCACCACTACCGTCCCCACCACTGTCCCACTGTCCCACTGTCCCCACCACTGTCCCGCTATCCCCTCACCACTGTCCCACCAACACCGTCCCCACCTCTGTCCGCACCCCCACTGGGTTTTCGAGAGGGGGGGGGGGGGGGGAGGGGTTCGAACCGGTAGTGACCCCCCCCCCCTTTTCATGATGAGCAGGGGGGGGGGGGGAGGGGTTCGAACCGGTAGTGACCCCCCCCGGTTTTTCGGAGGGGGGGGGGGGGGGGGTGGGGTTCGAACCGGTAGTGACCCCCCCCCGGTTTTCCGCCAGCAGCGGTAGAACACGCTCTTTCAAACATCACGCAATACCCTTCGGGAAATGCATCATCTTACCACACGTGTTGTCCCTCGTCCTCGGCTATCTTCTAAACTCCTGCCTTGGTTGCGCTTTCCGCTGCTACAACCTGCCGCACCCAAATTGCACTTCTGCGACCTTCTCAACATATGATTCGCGATTCTGAAGGAGCCCAAGGACACACAAATCGGGGGTTAAGGGATGAGATCGCAGCGGCACGGAGACCCCCAACCGGGAAATCGTCTCGTTTCGCTCGTGTCGTGCGTGAGGGCGAGGCGAAGCTGCGTGGGCGCGCGAAGGGAATCAACCCGCCGTTGCTAAGGCGAAGCCAAGACAAATGACTCTCCTCCTCCCTCCCGCCCGCGAGGCGGTGACTCGCGATGTCCCGCGGTGTCCCGTGGTGTCCCGCGGTGTCCGCCGTTGCTAGGGCGAAATCAAAACAAATGATTCTCCCCCGCCCGCCGTCCGTCCGTCCGTCCGTCCGGCGAGGGCTCGAGGTGTCCCGCGATGTCCCGTGGTGTCCCGTGGTGTCCCGCTGAGTGGGATCGATGGTGAGATCGATTGTGAGATCGATAGTGAAACCAATAGTGAGATCGATGGTGAGATCGATAGTGAGATCGATGTGGTGCCCAGAGGTATCCTATGGTGTCCCGTGGTGTCCCAAAAAGTGAGATCGATAGTGAGATCGATAAGGAGATCGAATGGTGTCCCGTGGTGTCCCGTGGTGTCCCGTGGTGTCCCGTTGAGTGAGATCGATCGTGAGATCGATAGTGAGACCGATGCTGCTGAGATCGATGTGGTGTCCCCAGGTGTCCCGTGGTGTCCCGTGGTGAGCTATGGTGTCCCGTTGAGTGTGATCGTTAGTGAAATCGATTGTGAGACCGATAGTGAGATCGAGAGGTGTCCCGCGGTGTCCCGTGGTGTCCCGTGGTGTCCTATGGTGTCCCGTGGAGTGAGATCGATAGTGAGATCGATAGTGAGACCGATAATGCGATCGAGAGGTGTCCCGCGGTGTCCCGTGGTGTCCCGTGGTGCCCCGAGGTGTCCCGTGGTGTCCTATGGTGTCCTATGGTGTCCCGTGGAGTGAGATCGATAGTGAGATCGATAATGAGACCGATAATGAGATCGAGATGTGTCCCGCGGTGTCCCGTGGTGTCCCGTGGTGTCGTTTTGAGTGAGATCGATAATGAGATCCATAATGAGATCGACGAATGTCTCGCGATGTCCCGTGGTGTCCCGTGGTGTCCCGTGGTCCCGTTGAGTGAGATCGACAGTGAGATCGATAGTAAGATCGATAGTGAGATCGATAGTGAGACCGATAGTGAGATCGATGGTGAGATCGATAGTGAGATCGATGTGGTGCCCAGAGGTCTCCTGTGGAGTCCCGTGGTGTCCCAAAAAGTGAGATCGATAGTGAGATCGATAAGGAGATCGAATGGTGTCCCGTGGTGTCCCGTGGTGTCCCGTGGTGTCCCGTTGAGTGAGATCGATCGTGAGATCGATAGTGAGACCGATGCTGAGATCGATGTGGTGTCCCCAGGTGTCCCGTGGCGTCCTATGGTGTCCAATGGTGTCCCGTGGAGTGAGATCGATAGTGAGATCGATAGTGAGACCGATAGTGAGATCGAGAGGTGTCCCGCGGTGTCCCGTGGTGTCCCGTGGTGTCCCGTTGAGTGAGATCGATAGTGAGATCGATGGTGAGATCGACAAGCGTCCCGCGATGTCCTGTGGTGTCCCGTGGTGCCCCGTTGAGTGAGATCGATAGTGAGATCGATTGAGTCAGATGCTGGCTCCCCCCCTCTCCTCCCCCCACAACCTCCCTATCACCCGGGGGGTGGTCGTTTAGGTAAATGTGCAAAAATATCTGGAATCCCCGTATTTTCTAGTATTCTCGAAGTTTTCGTCTTCCCCCCCACTTCCCATATTTTCCTATATTTTCCTTGGAATCGACGATTAATCGTGTCTGTGTGTTTTTCCCCTCTTGCGATTATCTGCGTTTCCTTGAGATATTACTCTCACTCCAGCGCGCCCTGCGCCCTGTCCTGAAGCGCGGCCTGGAACTAATGATGCGGTCGTTGCTGCGCCTGCGGGCGCTGTCCAGCTTCGTGCTTTCCGGCACTGCTCGCCGTCCTGGCGCCGAATTTTTTTTGTCCGAAGAGTCGCTCTTGAATCCGCAAACGCTTCTACGGAGCAGCCCCCCGCTTGGCACGACTTGCGGATCAAGTAATTATCTCAACACCGGTAAGCCTGCCATGTTATCAGGTGGCGCGTTCGCAACTACATTTAGGTCGGGCATGTCCCCCTACAGGCAGTTTCTGGACGGTTTTGGGCGGTTCAGAGATGGTCAAAAATAGTCAAAAAATCTGCCCCTGACTATTTTTGGACTCTTTTTGAATATGTAGAGGGACATGCCCGACTTAAAACTACATGTGTCCCAGGTGTACCCAAAAATGACAGCGCTACTGAAAAATCACGAGAGACCATGGCTACTTGTTGCACCGTGTCTCGCGCGCAACAGTTCAATCATTCGATCCATGGGCTTCCCGCAGCCCGTAAGCCGTGCCTTGAGCCAACGAAGGCAGCGCACTCGAGCAGTGCGCACGCGCGCACAGCGCGATGACGATGACGGCGGCGGCAGGAAAACATCAATGCAACAACTGTTTTGCACCTCCCCCCCTTTCCCCTGCCCCCCCCCCCCGCTCCCCCTCATCTTCCTTCTCGTCCTCCTCCTCCTCCTCATCATCATCTTCATCCTCATCCTCATCCTCATCCTCTTCATCATTATCAGCAACAGCAACAGCAACAGCATCAGCATCAGCATCAGCATCGGCATCATCAGCATCACCAGCAGCAGCATCAGCATCACCATCATCATCATCAGCAGCAGCATCAGCATCATCATCGTCATCATCAGCATTCGCAGCAGCATCATCATCAGCATCAGCATCAGCAAGTGCATCACCATCATCACCATCATCAGCATCATCAGCATCATCAGCATCATCATCATCATCAGCATCAGCATCTTCATCAGCATCATCATCGTCATCCGCATCCTCATCCTCATCCTCATCATCATGATCATCATAATCAGCATCATCATCAACCGCATCGTCATCGTCATCATCATCATCATCAGCATCATCATCTTCATCATCATCATCACCATGATCAACAGCATCATCAACATCCCCCCCTTCCCCGACTCCTCCCTTCCCCGCGCCCTCGTGAGCGCCTTGGACAGGCTCGTGTCCAGCCCGTCCATGGCCGCGATCATCTCTGCCGTGTCGACTAGGCCGTCCCCGTCCTTGTCGAACTGCGGGGGTTCTCGGGCCGACGCTCGGTCGAAACTCCAGACAGGGAGAGAAGATCTGCCAATCGTGCCTGCACGGTGTGACGTATTCGAACGCCATGCTTTGTGCTGGGCAGGGCTCCCGTAAATCATCTCGTAAATCATCGAAGCCCCCCCCTTCCCCACACCCAGCCGCGTGCAACACCACACCCCTCACGAATGTGTTGCTTTTGATTGTGTATATATGCAGACCTATGATCTTTATGTATATATATACACACACCAACTAAAATGCATACACTTCCTGGCCCTTGGAACGGTGGCGGAACTCGCCGCGGGCGCCTGGATAGGATAGGCATTACATCCGCCCCCTCGGCGTAGGTGGTTTTCAGGAGCTCCCCCTTCGAGCCATATTGATTCCCTGCGTCATGTCCGAAGGGTCTGGAGGGGAGGGTGCGACAAGCCAGAGCATGCAAGATGCCCCGAGTTGGGTCCCAGATGCGTTCGATATGGGCCCAGGAAACCCCAAGGCGGCCTCCAAGGCCACATAATGGAATCCAAGTTGGATAACGATAGCCTCCATCATCCTTCCTAGAGGGCCCGAGGCCACCACAAGACAGCTCCAAATATTCACGGTGCCTCCAGTGATGCTCACGGGAGACCGAACTCGCTACACCACTGGATATGGTTCGAGTAGGTGCAGTTGGTTCGCCGTTTCGCTTCCGCTGAGTTTCTGGGTCCTCAAGATAATTCCCAGGCCGCCTATGAGAGCCCAAAAGAGGCCCAACAACTTGCCGTCGCTCGGACCTCCCGTTCCCGTAAGCGGTGTCGTGCGTGTTTTGTCCACCCGATGGTCCAGGATGCTCTTCGATGGCCCCCCCCGAGAAGAGCATGCACATGCCCAGGCGATGCTCACACAAGGGCTCCGCCCAAGGGCGTCCTGAGCGGATCCCAGGAGGCGGCGTTTCAAGCTCCAACGGGGCGAGGCTGATTGAAGCCAGCCTCTTCTTTGATCGATGACCTCCGAGGGATGACCCCAAGAAGGCCCCTGAGAGGGCCCCAGGGGAACACCAGGAGAGGATCGGAGGCCCCCCCGAAGTGACCCCCAGAGGGCCCCCGAGAGGGCTCCAAAATGCCTCCACTACACTCCCAGTATGTCTCTAGCTCACCGTGCTAGCGTGCCCTTATTATACAATATGTATACGGCAGGTTCGTGTCGTGACGACCCCGCCGTTGGTTTCTGACACCGCAGGGATCGTTCAACCTTGAACGATCGGCCGTTGCCGCAACGTCCAATCGTTCAACATCGATCGATTCCGGGTCGCCGCCGGCGTTCGACGTTGAACGCCGCCAGCGGGGTCGCCGCTGGTCGACACGACGCAAACCTACCGTATGTATGCGTGTGTACGTCGCACCGCCAGGCAGCTTGCCAGGGCATCGTTCCTATAGGCTGGATTGCTTGCCGAAACGAAACAAGTGGGAGGACACGGTAGGCTAGAAAGGATATGATGTTATAGAATAGGGGATCCTGTGATGGGGTATGGAAGGACAGGGTATGATAGGGTAGCCGGCAGAATGTAATGGGGTACTACCCAATTGGATAAGACGGGGTATCCGCCACCGTGCCGCAGGCACTGAGTGGAGCGTCCTCAGGTCCCTTCGAACTCTCTGCACTGGGTGCTCTGAATGCTCTTTGGCGGGGGCCCAAGGGCCGTGGGGACGGGGCTTCTCGCATGCTTTCTGCGGGGTGTGCCGCGCGACTTCTGAGAGCGCCGGAGCGGCAGGAGGAGGATCCCAACAGGGCCCCGAGACGGCCCGAGAGGGGACCCACACGACCCAAATGGGGGCCCCAGGACGGCCCGGCATGCCCTTGAGACCGGGAGGCCTCCGAGAGGCACCCGAAAGAGACACCGACAGGCGCCCAACGACAGGAAACGGCGCGATACGATATTATATCGTCGATCGATCTATCTGTGTATATATATATATATATATATGTATATATCCAATCGGCAAAACAATGAGTACCAAAATGATCACCACAGGTACAGTCGGGGCGCTGAAGGCGTTGGGGAGGGGCTCTGTGTTCCTTAATTGTTTCGCAGTTTGCCTTGGGTTGTCCTCTGGTTTTCTATGGGAAATCGAAGCTCAACTTGTGGATCGGGGGTGCAGCCGCACCTTGTGAGAGGGCCCGGCAGAACGGGTGCGCCCGAGGCGGCCGCGCGGCATCCCCAGCGAACCCCCTTTTTTACAGTCGGGGCGCTGACCTAAGGAACCCTAAGTAAGGAACATGCCAGAGGAAAACCCGAGGCAAGCTGTGAAGCAATCGAGGAACATGGAGCCCCTCCCTAACGAAGAGGGTTCCTTCTTCAGGGCACCGACTGTACCAGGGATCGACCCAGACAGTGTTCTTCGTGTTCGTTGCGTTTTCGTCTTCCCTCGTTCGTCTTCAGTCCGCCGTTGCTGCAAAACGACATCGGAACGGAAGCGGCCCAGGAAATCGCCAAGAAAACGTGCAGGTCCACCACTGTCCCCGACGAGCCCCTTACTGGTCCCCAGCTGACTCCTCACAGGCGCCCGAGAGAGCCCCAAGAGGTCACAAAACCAGATGGGGACAAGGTCGGTGAAAAGACCCGTGCGAGTCCAGACCGCCCGCTGAACTGGCGCGGGTCTGAAACTCAATATCATACTACGTTGCTGCACTGGCAGGCCGTTCAGCGGCTCCCCCGCGGGCTCCCAAGAGGGCCCAAGAGGCCCTCAAAAATTCCCAAAGAATCCCCCCCCAGATGCCCGCAAAATGGGAGGAGGGGAGAAGGAGAATGGGATCGAGAAATTAGAAAGGAAAAGGTGGAAGCGATCCCGGACCAGGAGGAGAGGCAGTTCAAACAGAGCACCGAGATAGAGGGGGCCTTAAATTAGACCGGCCACCCCCGGCGTCTGCCAGGAGGAGCCGACCTCGAGAACCCGCGGCGTGCAGACCCCCGTGCGCCGCGAGGGCAGGAGGAGGAGGAGGAGGAGGGGGGGGAGGGGGGGTCCGTAGCCATTTTGGCTCAAGGGCCATCGGCGGCCCGAACCGCCGCCGCCCTCCTGCGGCCCTCCGGGGCCACAGGGCTGGCGGCTTCGCGGGCCGGCCCCAGGCGCGCGCTTCTCCGCAGGCGCCGCGATGGAACCACGGTTTCGGCATGGCACCTGGCGCAGCGAAACAGGTGCGCAGCCGATGTCGACATCAGATACCAGTCTCTGGGCCCGTCAGGCCCGCCTCGTCCGCCAGGCAAGGCAGAAGGCGGCTCGCCTCGCAGCGGAAGCCAAGATTCATGAACAGAAGACCCACATAGATCAGCTGCAGAAAGAATTGCAAGGCTGGCGAAGCTGGTGGTCCCACGAGTGGCGGGCACAGCCACAGTGGCATCAAGAATGGCAGCAGTCGCAACAAGATTGGCAGCAGCATCATCAAGAATGGCAGCATCAGCATCAAGAGCAGTCGCTTCCTTTCTGGGCACTTCGCTGGTTGCCAGACGAGGGCGAGGATACAACCCAGAACAAGAGCGCGCGAGAAGCGAAGGCAGAACCAGAGTGTGCGCAAAGCGGGGTGAAGGAGGACACCCAGCTAGAAAGCGTGCGAGAAGCGAACGAAGAATCAGAGCCTGCGCGAGGCGAGAAGCCCAATCCCTCCGTTGCTCTGAGCGGTGCGCCACCCTGCGAGAAGCAAGAGGGCGAGCTGAAGCCCAACACTGTGCGAGCAGGGACGGCACTGACAGCGGGCGGCGTTGCAACTGCAGAAACTGACACGTGTGAGAAGGCAGGCAGTGGCGGCCCTTGCGAGAAGGCAGGCAGTGGCAGCCCAGGCTACAGGACAGGCACTGGCACTTCTGGCAACAGCTGCGAGGACGGCGGCGAAGTCACAAGCCAGAACCAAAGCGCGCACGAAGCGGAAGAACCAGAGCGTGCGCAAAGCGAGAAACAAACAAGTCTTCACCTCACCGCCTACGGCCCGCTCCCAGAGGCGCCACCCTGCAAAGAGAAGTCGGAGGCGAAGCTAGAGTCCGACACGACCAGCTACAGTGAGGCGGTCAGGGCACGCGAGCCTATGAACGCGAAGATATAGCCCGTCATCCTCCTTGGCTCTAACCATAGTGCGCGTGATAAGTCGGAGGCGAAGCTTGAGTCAGACACGATCAGCTACAGCGCTGCAGTCAGGGACCGTGGACAGAACGAGGCTAAGACAGGCCCTGTGCGCTCCAGCTCCATCCCTGTGGTCAGCGTCTGCGAGAAGCGGGAGGCGAAGGAAGAGCCCGACGGGAACAGCTACAGCGTCGCGATCGGGGCGGCCGCGGGCAGCTGTGCGAGGAGCCGGCAGCGGGCAGTGGTGCGAGAAGAGACGGCAGTGGTGCGAGAAGAGACGGGCGGCAGTGGTGCGAGAAGAGACGGCAATGGTGCGATCAGGGCGGCCGCGGGCAGTGGTGCTAGAAGAGACGGCAGCTCCCCTCGACGGACTACGTCTCTCGACGACTCCCCACGACGACACCCCTCGACCAACCTTGACGTCCATCGACGATGCCCCTCGACGACGCCCCTCGACGACCCACCCTCGGAGTCGAAGACGAAGCCCGACACCATCAGCTGCAGCACGACGAAGTTACAGCTGACGAATCAGCGCATCGGCGGCACCCAGGCGCGTGAGAAGATTACCGTGGCAGCAGCGGCCATCGGAGCTGCGGCGAGATCGGGTGTGCAGTGGCGATCCGCGGCCCGCGCGACACTAAAGGCGGCAGGCATCTGCGCGCCCAACGCGGCCGCTTTCGTCTCCATGGCCGCCGACGACTTCCCCATTCCAGCACGCATCGAGGCGATTTTCGCTGGTGTCGCAACCAGCGCCCCCTGGTCCGCGGCCGACGAGGGCGACGCGTCCGAGCACGACGACGCCCGCGGCCAGCGCGTGACCGAGGATGACGCCGCCACCAGCCCCAGGACCACTCCTTCCAGGAGGATTCCGACGGCTACCACCACGAGTACAGCGGCGGCGCGAGGCAGCCTGCGAGAAGCAGCAGGCGGCGACCCGAGGCAGCCAGCGAGACGCAGGGTCTCGCTCGACCTGCGCGGCCACCTCGAGCGGCCCCAGGACCACTCTCACGGGGAGGACTCCAACGGCCGACTCGACGACAGCGACCCAGCGAGCCAGAACGACACAGAGAGCAACGCCACGGACTGCGAGTACGACGGCGAGACCACATACACCGAGAACCACGACACCCCCCGCAGAGCGAGGGGGTAGGCCCTACGACACCCCTGCAGGGCGAGGGGGTAGGCCCTACGACGACCCGCCCAGACCAGAAGGAGGACGGCCCACCTGGCGGCCATGCCTCCGCCCTGCTCCGACAGGAACCAGCAGCACGCCTACGGGAACCAGCAGCACACCTACGGGAACCAGCAGCACACCAACGGGCACCAGCAGAGCATCGGGCACCAGCACGGCTTCTTCAACCGCACTGGCGCCCACGGCGCCTCCCAGCACAACCACTTCATCATCCTGGAGGGCGCCCACCTGAACGGCGAGTTCATCATCGCCGTCGCCCCCTCTTGTGGTGAGCGTGCCGCCCTCCTTAGGTGGAGGAGGCTGGCGGCCACCGAGGGGGGGGCAAGATCATCGTGTTCGGCTCCCACAGGGAGTACCTCTTCTGAGAGGGGGGGAGGAGGTGGCCCCCCCCTCGACGGCTACATCCTTTCCGGAGGATTCAGAGTCGATATCCGAAGGATCCGAAGGGGGAGGGGGAGGAGGAAGAGGAGGAGGAGGAGGAGGAGGAGGAGGAGGAAAGGAGGAGGAAGGGGAGGAGGGGAGGAGGGAGGGGAGGAGGAGGAGGAGGAGAGATGAGGAGGAGGAGGAGGAGGAGGAGGAGGAGGAGGAGGAGGAGGAGGAGGAGGAGGAGGAGGAGGAGGAGGAGGAGGAGGAGGAGGAGGAGGAGGAGGGGGAGGAGGGAGGAGGGGCAGGAGGCCTGGCGCCCAGGGAGCCCCGCGGCCGCCCGCTCGGGCCGCGGCCGCGAGGGCGCGGAGGGCGCGGCCTCCTGCTGCGCTCCTGCTCGCGGCGCACGCCGCCAGCGGCGGCGGACCCGGACCCCCTCGCGCCACGAAAAAATCACGACGGGAGGTTTGTCGCTGTTTTCGGCCTCTGGGGGCCCTCACCGGGGCTCGGGGCCGTCGAAAAACGGTTCAGGATGAGAAACCGGTCCCGGGGAGTGGGTCCAGACCTCTGGGGGTCGCGTCATGAAAAAATCATGACGTCTGGGGGTCTGGGGAGAGCTCGAGAGAGCCACTGGAGGCCTCCCAGATGTGGTCCGAGTAGATGGGGGTCGAAGGATCGCGCCGCGTCGCCAGTGCATCGCCAATGCATCAGCGGTGCATCGGCGATGCGTCGGCGAGGTCGGCGATGCACCGGCGACGTCGGCGTGGGGAAACACGGGCTCCACATCGAGCCGCATCGCCGATGCATCGGCGATGCGGCGCGATCCTCCGACCCCATCTACTTGGACCCCATCTAGGAGGCCTAGATCCACCTACCAAGGATGGAAGTTTGCCGCTGTGATTCGCGACGTTTCTCGCGGTGTGCGCCTCAGCCACCTCGGAGTTGGGCGCGGAACGAGTCAGCTGTCCTGGGTGCAGCTGCCTGATGCGGAGATGTTTTGGAGCCCTCGACAGACCAGTCCGCGGGAGGGCAGGGGACCTCGGGGCCCTCGCGGGCCCTCGGGCTCGGGGGCTGCTAAAGGAGCCCCTGGCCCAAGGTGCCCCCAGCTTCTCGTTCAATTTTGGAGCGCCTGGGGCCGTCTGGGCCTCATGAGGGGTGCTGTGGGGGCCGTGGGGGCCCCCTTGGAAATCTTGGGGGCACCTTGGACCAGGGGCACTTCTATCAACACCCGACAGGCGGGCCTGGAGGGGAGCAGAAGAGTAAGACAAAGGCAACATCGAGCCAAAATCGGACCGGTATAACTCGCCCGGAAATCTCTGCGAATCGGCGGGTTCGAAGGATGTATCGGGCGCAGCTGCCGTTTCAGAACGTTCCAGAACGCTCTGAGAGCGTTCCAGAACGCTCTGTAATCGATTTATCCTCGTCCTAGCACCGCCCGAGAAGGGGACCTCGGGGCCCTGGCGGTCCCTCAGGCGGGCCTGGGGTGGACGGACACCATGGTCAGATGGCCTGAGAACTGGCTGGGGCCAGACTGAGACAAACAGACAGAGAGAGAGAGAGAAGCTTGTGCCCGCCAGGAAGATCATCATGTCATCCACTATCGGTCACGTCCTCGTCTTCCTCCTCATCCTCCTGCACTACCACCATTCCCCTGCAAGCCACGCGCACAGGCTGCGACCTGTTGTGTCCCACGCGGTCGAGAGAAGCACCCGAGCCGCCACGACACGGGTTTGGGCGAACCTTGCGACCACCAAAATTTCGTGCTATCTCACAAGACGTCAAGTAACTGCCGACATCTTAAGAGACTGAGAAAGACTACGCCCGTAGGGACAAACAACCACTTGCCCCACAAGGAGCCGATTGAAACAATACACATGTGAGAATGGACTTCCTGTGGGGGTCGCAACTTGGCACGACCATGCTCCAGGACTTGTAGTTCCCGGATAGCTCATTGGAGAGCTAAGAAGGTTTTAGATTAGAAGCCGGCAGGCAGGGCTACGCTAGCTCCCTTCCAAGGCTCCCGGGCAAGCATCCCCGCACCGAGTCGCTTCACACTCCAGCGGGTCCCGAGAGCGTTTTCCTACTCGTTCCCAATACGCGCGCCTGAAGACTTTCCGCAGGTCCGTCGCAGCTCCCTCGAAGCTCCTTCGAAGCTTGCTTTTCGAAGCTTGCAGGCTCCAAAGGCATGCTTTCCGGCGTCCTGGCCAGCGTCTCCCAAAGATGATGTCCTACCTTGCAGGCTCTCTAGGCGTGCTTTTTCTGGCGTTCTTTCCAGCGTCTCCCACCGGCGCTTCACGCACTTCTGAACTACGCTGCTATCTGGGCTTGGGATGCCACAAGTCACATGGGGGAAGCTTGCCTGGGGGGCTGGCCTGGGTCTCATCGTACAGTCGGGGCGTTGACATAAGGAACCCTAAATAAGGAACGGGGCCCCTTTCTCCCATAAGGTGAACTTCGATTTCCCATGGAAAACCTCAGGAAAACAGAAGGCAAACTGCAGCCCAATCAAGGAACACCGAGCCCCTCCCCAACGAAAAGGGTTCCTTCTTCAGGGCCCCGACTGTATGCTTCACCAGCGGAGCATCGCTTCTCCTGACTTGCCCGGTGAACATAGCAGAATGCCACGGGGCGCCGCCAAGCCCCAGATCCCGACACGCAGAGCGCAGGCTACGACTTCGCAGGGCCGCTGGGAGCCTCGGGGCAGGGAGTTGAGGAATCATCGTCGTGATCACCATCTTGATCACCATCTTGCGCGTAAGGCTTATCAGTCATCATAGTCGCCACATTGGCCAAAGTCTGGGTCCGAACATTGGACATGACCGCCTTGGCACCCTCATGATCACAGTCGCCGGAATGATATTATGAGCCGTCAACAAGCCGATCGTGGTCATGACCAGCATGGCCCTCAACATCATCATGCCCGTCATGCTCACGGCTGGCATCAGCATCTACTCAGCCAGATGTGGCCAACACTTTCGAATTCAACGAACTCTGTTCACACCGAAATATGGAGTACTCCCTGTAGAAGCTCAGCGAACTGTTACTTTCTTGCCAGGACGAGACAGATATGGGAAACGAGAAGAGGGGGACGAGGAGGCGCATGGGTGCGCGCGCAGGAGGAGGAGGAGGCGAAACAGAAGGGAGGATGTCGAAAGAGGAGGGTCCGGAAGAGGAAAAACGATAGCAGAGAATCGGGGATGGGGGGCGGGAGGGGACAGGGGAGACGACTAAACCGGCTCGACTCGACTCCCTCCTACTGCTCATGTCCATCCCCGAGAGGTTGGTGCAGACGGTGCCCGTAGCGGTTGGTGGCTCTTGGCGGGCGTGGCCCCACCGCCACAGGACCGTCCGGGCGCAGGCCCTGGGCCCCGAGGTTCGGGCTCGTGCAGCCGTTGGGAGGACAGAGGGGCAGGGACGAGGGCGTAACACTGGGGAATGAAGAAAGGGCGGCCTGCATCAAAGCCTCCGTCATGCGGGCATCCTTGTCGAGGAGTTCGTGGTACACCTGTGGCAGCAGGGGGGGGAGAGGGGGAGAGGGGGGGGAGAACGAGAGAGAAAGAGAGGGGAAGGTGGAGGATGGGGGTGGAATGGGGAGCGACATCAAGAGAGGGTAGGACAAAAACGTGGCTTTGTTTTGGACGCGGGTTAGAATCAAGCGCTGACTCCTAGCAGCACAAAGCCGAACGGGGGCCGAAAAAACGGCGAGCGGACGAGGACCAGCGGAAAGACACGAACGGCGGAGGCCGAACGAAGAAACGAGTCCCGAAACCCGCAGGGACAGCCAGGCAAGGCAGACAAAAGCAGGCAGGTCTCGGTCCTGCGGCGGCCACAGGCCGCAGAATCGCTGCATTTGCGTAGCGCGTCTCCCGCACCCACCATTCTTTACACCTCTCTACTCCACATATGAGGCAAGAGGCAACAAGGCAATGCTCGACCCCGACGCATCGGGGATCAGTTTCCGCCGCGGCTTGACGATCGGCACAGCCCAAGTGGCGCCAGGCGCTCTGACAGCCTGGCAGAAAAACAGACAGCGGCAACAACAAACAAAGAGAAGCAAGCATACTGACGCGTTGCTTCTATATCTTTGCGAGCATGCGTGAGCAAGTGCAAACAAACATAAACATGCGTCAAACTCATCGACGGGAGCTGGGCAAATGGGCGGCGGGACGGGAGGCGGAAGGTCATCCTCCTTTCTCAACGCCGCCACCACCTCGAGCAGCTGCTCGCGCTCCGAGAGGGCCACCCGACAAGATGACATGGGGCACCGAAAAAAAGGAGCAGGCAATAACCACTCAAGATAAACAAGGCATGAAAGGTGAACACGTCATTGGGGACAGGAAACGCGCGCAACAAGCTAGCGCGGCCGATGCGGTCGACTCCACTCAGAGGTGCGTTCATAAAAGGGCGCCTGCCCACTGACGTGCGTCTCACGCGGTGGATGGCCCCAAGGGCCCGCGGTCTGCCAGCGCACTCACGCCTTATAGAAATCCGCTACTCCTGTTATAGAGCAGCGACCTCAGAGGACGCCGAAAAAATACATCTCGCAGACGTTGGTATCCGCGGCCCCCACCCAACGGACTCCCACAATTGGTACACAACATAAGCTGTTTTGAAACTCTGCTGGCCGAACGACCTCCGCCTCTCCGCCTCCGCCTCCGCCTCCTCCTCCTCCTCCTCCTTCTCCTCCGCCTCCCCCTCCTCCACCTCATCCTCCCTCCTCCTCGGAAACGGCCGGCCCCAGAGCACCAGAAATGCCTGCGATATGCACCGTCAATTGCCCGTGACAGGACAAGAGTGAGACCTGTGACCAATGTACTGGGCCACTTGGGCGACCACTATAGTGAACCGCTCAACGCTGTTCATCGCGACTTAATCCGTCGGCCCCCTTGCGGGGCCACCAGGCTGTAGGCCGGGAATATGGTGCTCCCTGTACCAGTTGCAGCTTCCAGTTTCCACTGTTACAGTTCTGCTTCTTGCTCCTTACTGTTCCTTGTTGATGAACGCGCGAGGGGGGGGAGCCCCAACCAGCAGAACTACCACGCCCTGGGAGGCTTCTCAGAATTCCGGAGGGGGGGGGAATTCAACACCCCTCACGCAGATCGGCGGGTCCAAAAACACATGGGATTTGTCACATTTCTAAAACTCGGTGGCACCCCTCGCGCAGATCGGCGGGGTCAGGGTCCAAAAACACATGGGATTTGCAACATTCCTGAAATTCCGTGGCACCCCTCACGCAGATCGGCGGGGGCAGGGTCCAAAAACACACAGGATTTGCAACATTTCTAAAATCAGGTGGCACCCCTCACGCAGATCGGCGGGGTCAGGGTCCAAAAACATATGGGATTTGCAACATTCCTGAAATTCCGTGGCACCCCTCACGCAGATCGGCGGGGTCAGGGTCAAAAAAATCATGGGATTTACTATATTCCTGAAATTCGGTGGCACCCCTCACGCAGATCGGCGGGGTCAGGGTCCAAAAACACATGAGATGTGCCACATTCCTGACAATCGGTGGCACCCCTCACACAGATCGGCGGGGTCAAGGTCCAAAAACACATGGGATTTGCCACATTCCTGAAATTCGGTGGCACTCCTCACGCAGATCGGCGGGGTCAGGGTCGAAAAACAAACAGGTCCCAACATTGCTTCACGGCGGCGCCCAAACCTCATGGTTTAGCTTTTGCATCTGCCATCATCCGAGACAGGGGGCCGGCGGCATGGGACGAAGCCCTTACGGATACTTATATGGGAGGGATGCAACTAGTTTCGCTAAACAGTCAAGTCGGCCGCCTTGTTCACTTCATAATGCACACCCGCAGCCATGCGACCACGGGAGCGGACTCTACTGAGCTTAACCGGGTGGTAGCAAATATCAGAGGCTGCACGGTGAATACCTCGCCACGGGCCACTGCGCTTCGACCACCAATGAGTTGCGCGGCAAAGCCCTGAGAATGAACATCAGTGCAACCGGCAACCAGTTCTGAAGTCATATCCAAGATTAGGCGCAGCATGCGTGATATATATATATATATATATATATATATATATATATATATACATATATACATATATATATATATATATCCTGCACATAGATGCGAAACCCATATAGCTCGGCAGATGGAACATCCCGAACAAGTATGGGGAGGGGGCGCAAGCAGCAGCGCCGAAACGCGAGCCCACGCACGAACACGCGCCACAGCCAGCCAGAAGAGGGTGAGCGCGGAAGGGCCGCAAATTCCCGAGCCGTGCCCCCATGCTGGCGACGAGAGAGCGGGCCCTTGTAGAGCTCGCAACCAGACTGGCCGGGAGAAGGGTGGCGCTGCAATGGCGGAGCACGCGGGACCAGGGCTCGACGCAAACGTTCGAACCGGACTGCCCCAGGAGCTGGCACTGCATGCCTCATAGCGGGGGTCGGCCCAAACCACCCGCGACGCTCGCCCGAGCCCCGGCGCCTCCCCAAGGTGAGAAGGGCAGGATTCGCAAGGCTTAAACGGCACAGAGGGCACGAATTAGAAGCAGATAGACCCTGCCAGAAAGCCCCCGAGTGCACGGCGTCGCAGCTCGCCCGATCCCGGGGCCACCCCGCTCAGCAAAGCCCAGACCGGTGCCGGGAAGGGAGCGCGGGGGGGGGCTGACTAATGATAATGCAGCAGATACCTCTCAAAGGCACGCTGCCAAGCCCGCGCGCAGGCAGCGCGCGCCACCAAGGTCGCTGTCCCTCTTTGGGGAGCAGACGTAAGTTCCACTGACAATCAAGTTTCGACTCACATCCAATAAGAGAATCCACAGACCATCTAATTCTGAGCAGTGTGCCAACACGCATTTGGCATGGGCCCTGCAAGGCAGAGCCATGGGGCATGCACAGAGGCCAGCTAGGAGGTGTCCAGCGATACATTATCTATGCCGCCCCACGGTAGAGGCGACATCCGTCTGGAGACGGCCCAATAGACAACTTCAGAATGTGCGTCTAGGGCGCGATCAGTTACTCCAGTAAAGGAAAGGCCCATGGCTACTGGCCGACGTGCACCTGTTCCAAGTCCACGCGACATGCCCTGCAAACCTTCTTGATCTGCCATGCGCCGAGGCCGACGAAATCAATGCCAAGGGTGATCGCAAGCCCGGGGCTCGTGTTCAGAATGCCCTGCGCGCGAGCTCCAGCGCGCTGCGGCTTGAGCAGACGCCCTGACGTGCCCAATGCCTTCTTGATTTGTTCATTCAAAACCCCTCGCGCCCGCTCACCGTTGCGCCCCTGAGGATCAAGGCCGAGGGTCAAGCAGGGGAAACGAACAGCCGCGCCACCACGGGGGGGAAAGGGGTGGGCATCCGCCATTCGTCGGGCAAGGGAAGCATCCGACGACAACAACGCACACTTCTTCTCTGTTAGTGGGAGCCGAACAACAAACGCGAGTCCACTCGTAAGCGCGCGGCGCAGAAGGACAAAGCGTCATGACCCGCGCCTCCGCACCTATTTCCGCGACCTGCATTTCATCTGCCACGAGACCCGAGTTCAGCAAAGGGTAGACGCGCAATGCTGCGGAAAAGCTAGATGCAGATGAGAGATCAGCGAACGAGTGAAACCCGAACCGGTGGTGCCGGCTGCAGGCACGTACACGCCGACGATGCGCCGCGGCGCGATGAGCCTGGGAGGTCTGACCAGTCCAATCGACACGCTGAGTAGGGCAGGGTTGAACGGCCAACAGCCAGCTCTCCGAATGAAGAGACGGCGCCGAGCCTGCTCGAGGCCCTTCCCAAGATCCGAGAGAAAGGCGAAAGCAGACAGACCGCGCGAAGGCAGAGGATTCCGCCAATGCGGTCATGCGGCACACGCACGCTGCTAGCAAACATGATTGCGCAATACATGAGCATCACTACACACATATGTATCGATTACGATATATATATATATATATATGCATACGCGAATACTGACGTGCCCACATCACGCCACACGCGCGCCTGAAATGCCTTGTGAAGATGCGCACACATGTATTGAACAGTGCAACCGTGCTTTCACCACCATCAGGCCCAGGTGACAAGTTCATCGCACACCGAGCCAGATCACTGGAAAACGATCCTGACGGACCACTGCGGACTACACTTCGAATCAGGACGCGAAAGCAGCTTCAGACAACCAATCATGATGCCGTGGATGGATCCAGTCAAGTCCCGCAGACGTAGGCGCACGGTGCTTGCTGCACAGATCACGCCATCCCGCTGCGGAAGGCAACGACAGGGATGCAAGGTGCTCAGACAGAACAACACGTAAGGACAGGCCCTGGCAGGGGTCGCCGTGCAATTCCTGAAATTCCATTGCCTGCCACAAACCATGCCAAAACTGCCCTCTAGCTCTCGCGAGGCGTGCTGGAACGCCACGAGGCGGGCCATCTGGAACCCGATCCTGGACGACATCAATGGCATTCCAAGCCCGGCTTCCCTTCACAAACCTGCGCGCTGCTGAACCACCGTGCCCCCTGGCATACTGAATCGCCCAAGAGCGCCAAC